TGGTCAGTGCAGCTCTGACAGAGCTTTGGGGAGGTTCTCTGGTAAAGGCCTCAAAGCAGAGACACAGAACAATCTCGAGGATCTTACACCAGGTGGCTGCTGCTCATCTTCACTTGGAGCTCCAGAACTGTTACTGGCAGGATGAAGTCTTACAAAGTGTCACCTGTAAAGAACAGATCCCTGACCAAAAAATGGGAATGAAATTGCAAGACAGGGGTTAGGTAGGAGAAAATTATGGCAGGAGTCAGGTTTCCATCACTACTCTGTCCCTGTTTTGGAGGCCTACATATTAGGAGTAAGGTATTTTTATTAAACACAAACCAGCATCTGCAACTTCATTTAACACAAATTTCTTTTTGGCTTTCTGGTAACTGCAGGCATCTCCATTTCTGTAGTGATTCTACAATTCCAGTGTGTTCAGTGAATCTCCAAAACCAACACCCTTGTTACATCAACACTCCTAAAAGCTCACTGCAAACTGCAGAAACAATGGATTTTAGCAATGGCTAATCCCATTTCACCTACTGAGTTTTCAGAAAATTATTAAAAGGATGAAAAAACCCACTTCAAAATACCAGTTATTTCTGGAAACAAGAAGCAGATGTTCTCCTCTGTTTGGCTCAGCTGTGCTACAGTACAAGACTGCCTTTGTTATGCTGTCAGCAATAATTTATTTTATTTATTACAGCCATTTTATAATGCCCATCAATGTACTATTTGTGCATGATTTACATCCATGCAGATCCATTTCTCTGTATCTAAGCCATCAAGAAGCATCACATACACACTCCAAACAGCAGACCCCGTTATGACACAATTCTGCAAATTAGGTTTTTCCTCTTTCCACTGTATTAATAAAAAGGGAACAGGAAGAGAAGGAGGGTAGTTAGTATTGCCAAATAAAGTCGAATTATCATTAATCAAGAATTACTGCAACAAGACAAAGTTAGGAAAATACAAGAGCTCGGAGCATAAAAATAAACTCCAACTCTTTGAAGTCAAATAAAGGCAAAGCTTTCTGAACCACGGAAAGTAAACACTGTCTAGAACAAAGTCCTGAAGATCTAAAAGAGACTAAATTGGGGAAAGGATCCATTAAAAATGGAAGAGAGCATGCTCATGGGAGGGGAGAGGAAGGGAAGGGAAAGAAAAAGGAGCACAATGATTTGCTGTTTGGCCCTATCAGCCACTGAACCCTTATCTGAGGCAGGCATTAAACCACTCCCCAAAAGACCAACATCAGAGCCTTTGTATGGATCTGATAAGGAATTGTGGGCCTCAAAAAAATTAAACCTTTAATGAGAATGCACACATGGTGGCATGAGCATTCATCCTTCCCTCCTACTGCTTTGAACAAAAGATTTTCTTCTATTCTATTTTCTATTTCTATTCTCTTCTATTTCTATTTTCTTCTATTTCTTCCAATATTCCCAAGTTACTAATTTAACATCCCCACCTGTGACACAAGAAACAGCCAAAACACTGCACAGTAAAGCCCATATTCCCAACCTGCAAGAACTGGAGGATCTGCATGTATGAACACTCACAGATTTACCACCACGCACACATCTGCATTACCCTGGAAGACAAATGCAGGCATTAAAATATTCAACGAGTGTATGAAATCCTAGAGTTTAAATATAGGTATGACTTTTTTTAAAGTGATTAAGTATCCAATTACTGCCAAGATTTCCTCTCTCTGACAAGACAGAAAGGATGATTTGTTAGGATAATCTGTTATCCAAACTAACATCTGAGAGAAGCCTCACAAATTCTGCACTTTCAGGCTGTACCTGAAAGACAGATTTACATCCAGAGTCAGCCCAGGGTCACAGTCCATCATGGAACCAACAAGTCAGACGTTTGACTAAGTGGGACTCACTCAAATCCTACAGCAGCATCTGCCACATACATGGACATCAGTCCCCCAGGAAACATTCTGGAAGCCTTTCCAATAGAAAAGTCACTTGCACCACATATCTACAATATGCCCCCTACAACGATGCACCAGAGGAGAGGAAAGGCAGAGGAAAGGCATCAAAACCTTGGGTAGTTCTAAAGAAAGTTACTCTGTTTAGAAACACAACTACATAAAAATGTACACATCCTTAAATGTTTGATACAATCTCTATAAGTTAATCAAAATACCCCCCCCAATAAATTAAAGATTATAACACAAGAAGTATCTGAGTAACCAAAAAAAAAAAAAAATCAAGTGTGTACATGCCTAATATGCATAACTTATACACTTTAACAATTAGCAAACATTGGAATGTTACCACAACACTGAAAACTTGCCCTAACAGAGATTTTTTTCCAAACAAAAATATTCACGGCATCAACAGATAAAACCTTTACTTGAGCAAGCCACTGAGGTAATTTTCAAAATAAGTAAATTGCAAAAATATTTGAGTGCATCCCTGCTTAGTTTCGTAGTTCTTAGAAATTAAACATTTTGCCAAGAAAGAGACTTAAATCAAAATCATACAGATAATTCTACTACTCGTAAGCAAATTTTGGCATGTGGGGTGTTTATCTGTATTTTTCCAGACTCTGTACAGATGACAGGAATGAAGCACCAGACCGTGCTACTAATCAGCACAGCCCTAACCCTGTAATTTGTGATAAATACCCAGGTGAACTGCTCGTATAAACTGCAGGATCAGAAGCAGAGACGGGGGCAGAAGGGGGCTGAAAGTAACTGAAAGTCATGTGGACAAGCAGCTTTGGCTTATCACAAAATGCTGCTCGTGGCTCAGGGAATTTGGGGGTTCCTGCACAAAAATGCAGCCAAAGGGCACGAGCAGCTGATTCCATGTGGGAGGAGCTGATGATACCTTCCCAAGAGAGTAGGAGGGGGGAAATGAAGCCACACTTTGTGTCTGTGTACAAGTGGATACTTCAGGACAGGAGTCACCAGATTGTACATCCTGTCCAGGGACGCCCGAAATTTGGGTCTGACCCCGATGGCTGCACTAAAGTTTCAACTCCCCTGCCCCGAGTCCTGCAGCCTACACAGGAGAGAGGGGACAAGCCAGGATGCTGAGCATGATTTTAAACAAATAAATGAATGAATAACACTGCAGATGTTTGAGGAATGTGCCAGAGTGACTGTGACAGGGGGTTCCATGCTGTGCTTTGTACCTGAGCAGGTAGCACAGACCCAGACCGGGGACCCCCAGGGACACCCTGTTATCGAAACAGGGAAGAGCTTTTCCTCCTAAATATATACAAACAAAAGTACCCCGAGAAAACAAAAGGGATTTGACTGTAATTATCCACTCAGCAACAGGCAGCAAGAACAGAGGACCCAATCCTGCCAAGTTTTAAGTACATGTTTAACTTTAATCACGAGTAGTCTCGCTGTGCGGTGTCTCTAAAAGCCTGCCAAAAAAGGGCCAGATTAACAAGGGAATTAAGATTTTTTTTTTTTTAATCATTTTGGAAGTGCTATTAGTTAGACTAGCAAAGATTAGAATTTTTTTTTTTTTCCACAATTAAGATACCTTGGCAAATTCAAACCTGCACACAACCCTGATGTCAGTCTCAAGGGGAACCTACACAGATCCACACGAAACCCCAAGCAGCTGGACATGGTGATATCTGTCAGTTAAACATTACAAGGTTAAGCAAAATAATTATTTTAAAGCAGTTTTAGCCATTTCTCACCAAAATAAGCCGACAACCTTAAAGAATTCCATGACAGCTGCTGGGTGGAAAATTGGGGATGCCTAAAAATAAAGAACAAACAAGCCCTACACAGCAACAGATGTTGGTACAGTGAGTGGGGAGAGGTTCTGGGCCAGGCCAGATTACCTGTTCCCCAAAGTCCAAGCCATGACGAGCCAGCAGGGAATGCCAGCTCATGAATGACACTTCTGTGATGAACCCAGTTGCCCAACACTGCAAACCACACTGGCAAAGGAATTTTGCTAACTGGAGACTCCAGCTGAAGAGAGAGAAAAAAAGGTCTGAAGCAAGTGGGGAGTTCTAAAAATAAGGGGGAAAGAATGAACAGAGAGTCTGCCTCATCATTAATTTAGAGACACAGGGAGGAATGTGTGGGATACCCCAAGATGAGTAAACATTGGGACCAAACATCTGTATTTCACTCACGAGGCTGACTTGAAAGGGAATGGGGGACTCTGTCCTGTAGGACGTACTCCAGAGCAGCTCTCCCTGAGTCGCCCTTTCATATTTAACTTATAAGGAAGGCCAGGCAGGACATTCTGCTCTCCATGAAGTATCAAGGGAGAACAGATGTTTCCCAGTCTCCAAGGGACAAACTCAAGAGTGTATCACTTCATACCACTAATTCTTGAGCACTTAAAAAAAAAAAATCACAGCAAGGGAAACAAATAAAGGAAGGCAAAGGGTAAGTAAGCAAACAAACTCCGATCAGCCCTTCAGTAAATGCAAATGCTATCAAATGTATTTCATTATTAAGTTAATGCTCCATGGCATTACCATTCCCAAAAATACACAGCTGATTACAGACTAGCTTGTGGGGAAGGGACAGGGAAGGCAGTTAATTGGAAAGTGCATTTTATTGTAGCTTACCAGCCTCGCACATTTCTACACTCCCACTCACTGCAGAAACATCTTTATGAAGTCTGCGCAGCATAATTAGTTTGGTTTTGTTTAAATCTGCATCACCGTGCAGGTAAGCAAAGCCTTTCAGCTCCCTAAACTTTTTCCCAGAAGTTTTGCATCACTGAAATATGCATCATTTCACTTTCCGGCGATCTGCTTCTCGTTCTTCCTCTTCTCCCCGCAGCTGGCCCGGCACAGCCCAGAGAGCGCCCCGTGCCCGTACCCGGGGCGTTCCGAGCTCGGCAGAGCAGCGAACAAACCCCGCGCTCCGGGGCCAGCCCGGGGTGACAATGCGAACACACCCGGGCACCGCGGACCCCGCGCCGGCGGAGCGCGGCTTCGACGCGGGGAAAGTGACAAAATAAACAGGGAGAGCCGCGCTCCGGGAGGGAGCGGGGCCGCCTCACCTCGGGGGTGCGCTCCGCGGGCTTCTTCCGCAGCGCCTGTTTGATCCTGGGCTCCACCGGGGCGCTCATCCTCCCGCGCCGCGGGGCTCCCGCCGGGGCGCTCCGGCCGCGACACTCGCCCCGCGCGGGGAGCGGAGCGGGGCGGCTCGGCGAGGCCGGGCAGGGCCGGG